CTTTTTGTGCCTCTGGCTTCCAAAGACGACATTCACCTTGTCCGACCCTAAACCCCAACCCCTAAACCCTGGATATGGAGTCACTTGCACCCGTCCTCTACATGTCATGTTGCTGGCATGAGCTGATGTCTTGAGCCAGAACTGTGACCCAGCTCAGGCAGCCCTGGACGACGACTCCTATGAGGGAGAGCCGGCATCCAACAAGAAGCAAGCAGAACACCTCGCTGCACAGGCTGGATACAATTTCAACCCTGAACCTTCAGTAGTATGCTCGTCTCATGCCGGTTAGATGCAAAAGCGCAGGCTACAGCCTGTAGGACGTGCCACTTCCTTGTTTTGCTGTGGTGCTATATCATACTTGTTCCCATTCTTGGTATTCTACGAGTATGAGTTTGATGATCTTGCAATGGAATTATTTGGTTTTGAGGAGCGAAGGTGCAGAAAACCATAAACCCCAAACGCTAAGCGCAGCAGGAATGCATCTGGCTGTTGTACATTGGTTTAAGCCTCAAACCCTGAAGACTAGCATCTAAATCCCAAACTACCCTAAGCCCTCTGCCCACTACCCTCAAAGCTGGCTGCCGTGTCTCTCCAAGACTAATGGTTCCTTAGAAATCATTCTTAGTGTGTGCTATATTAAAAACTCAACAGCTTACTAAGAGCATGATTCGTATGTTGGGTCAAAGGGGCTTATACATCATGGCCGTCTGGAGGCAGCTGTCGCGGCCATGGCCGAGCGAGTTCAGCCTTTGGAGCAGGAACGCCGCGAAGCAAAGAGTTTCGGCTTTCAAACGTTTTGCGGGGTTCCTACAACTTCTGCAGGGTTGCGATAAGGCCAGAAGCTTTTGCTAGTTGGCCTGGGTCTAGCATTGAAACGCCCATGCCAGCTCGCGAGAACAAGCGCAAGAAGAGAATGTAGGAGAGCCTGACGAAGCACACGGACCAAGAGGTAGACATGACATGCATTCCGAACGCCCGAATCTCGAAACCCTGAAAAACCCTGAACCCTGCAACCAGTACGCCCCTCCCTCCTCTTCCTCTCACATATGCTCGAAGCTCAGCCCGCAATGAGCCTGCACCTCCTCTGAAGCAAAAGAGTTGTATCTACGACACAGCTGCATATGAGTAGTTCTCTAGATTAGGGTCCATTTTTAAGTCCCGGAAATAGTACGACACCATTATACAATGGAACCACAAGGGACCCCTCTTTTGGAGAACTACCCATATCCCGCTGGAGTCAGCATCCAGAACACCCTGAACCTCAGAAGACAAGCAAGGCTAAGCCTCTGGACACCGGAACCGCTCGACTCTGTGCTGTCTGATGCCTAAACCCTAACCCCTAAACCCTAAACCCTAGACTATCCCTAAGCCCGTATCCCTAAACCCCGCACCCCGGACCCTAAACCCTAAACCCCCAAAGCCAGCCAAGGAGAAGAAAAACGATGGAGGCACGGCGGGGGGCCAAGAAGCCGCCACCCGAATGCAGAAAGGCGCCTAATACTTGCGAGGGTTGAGGGGTTAAAACATAGGGTTTAGGAAAAGGCGGCTGTGAAAGAGGCTTGAATGGTCAGTAACTAGAATTCCCTTGTGCTGCTGTCGCGCGCCTGTCGTAAGATCGATCTTGGAAAGGCTCAGTAAACATCATCCCTTGCAGTTTCCTTAATAGACTTTGGGGTTTAGGGAATAGGGTTGAGGGTCCTAGAATTCATATGTTGATGCCGCGAAGCCGCCTTCTGAATCATGAAGACCCACTATGTTCAACCCCAAACAGCCCGACATAGCCACTGTAAAACACCCCATTATGAAACCCACTAAATCCCGACCTGAACCCTAAACCCAAGAAAAAGCTGAGTCCTAATCCCCACAAATCCTTAGAGGAACGCCAGGCTTTTGAAAGGGGCCCCCTTCTTCTTTCGAAGCGCCCTCTAGAAAAGCTCGCAGGTTCGATTTTTTTGTTTGGGGGGGATTCGAGCTGGTGCGTTCAGGGCTTTTGGGGGCTCAGAGCGTTTTTGGGGGCTTTTGGAGCTTTTCGGGTGTAGGGTTTTGGGGCTTTTAGAGAGTTTCGGGAGCTCTGGGAGGCGTTTAGGAACCAGAAAGGAGTTTTGAGGAGTAGAAGGCCTTGTAGGGGCTTCAGGGTTGCAGATTTGGGCTGTAGGTCGAAGGGCGACGGTTTGTCGTATGTTGGTCAAGTTGCTAAGAGCTGCTTCCCTAAACCCGAAACCCTTAACCTTGAACCCCCAAAGCCCTAATCCCCGAAACTCCCTAAACTCCCAAAACCCCTAAAGGCCCTAAATCCCCGAACCCCCTGAAACCCTAAACCCGAACCCTCTCTTCCTCTGCCGTCATCATCCTCAAACCCAAAATCCTCGAACCCAAAGGCCTCAAAGCCGCAAACCTTGAGCTTGAACCCTTAGGGCTTAGGGTTTAGGGCACACCCAAAGAGCTAAGAACCCAAGAGGAATCAAGGAAGGAATGGATGGTTACGAGTTATGACTCTTACTGCATTGCTGACGCGAAGACCCTGCGACCCTGATTTTCGGGGGGTTTACTTTGCAGAGTAGGGCTCCTTCCTTCATTAGGGTTTAGGGCTTAGGGTTTAGGGCTTAGGGCTTAGGGTTTAGGGCTTAGGGCTTAGGGTTTAGGGTTTAGGGTTTAGGGCCTTCAGCCCAAAGCTTGGGTTGGTGAGCGGAAAAAGGTGCTCAAAAAAAGCACACCTTCAAGTAGCTTTAGACGCTGTCATACTACTACCAATAGTCATAGCAACTGAAAGATGATGAACCCTAAACCCTAAACCCCAAAAGCAACTTTGGAGACGTTTTTCAGGTCTCGGGCGGCTGGGCACCCAGGGCCGCCGGCAGCTTTCGAGCGCGTCTTGGCTAGCAGGTCTACATCGTAACTCAAAGGGTTCCTTGAAGGGTCCAGTAAAGGGGATTATAGGGTTTTAACTTAAGGGCCAGGGGACATAGTAAGCCATGGAACTGAGTGAGGTTTTTTTTTTCAGAATTTCCAGACGAGTTTTTCGGGTTTGGGGGGTCGGGGGACTGGTAAGTAAGGCTATTGTAAGCACCTCAATTGGGGACTATACTGACTATACGTAATTATAGTTATGACTGTAGCTTGCCTTGCTTATAACCCCACTTGCTAAGTCCTTTGAGCCTTGTACTGGGGTTGTTGCAACGGTTTGTTAAAGGTGATGTATGAAGGTGTCTTGTTTAGTTGGCTTTGGAGAGTACAACACGCTTTGATTATGGACAACCCAGAAGTCACAGTAAGAAGCGCTGTGCAAATTATTGAAGCTTCGACGAGGATGCCGGACACCCCAACGGCCGCTGCGGCGAACGATGCTAGTTAATCCTCACCGGCGATTCAACACACTACGATTGCCATGCTGCACTGTTGAACTTTTGTCCGATTTGTATCATGCGTTGACGAATGATGACGACGGTTTGTACTTGATTCGATCAGGGGTGCTTACCGGTTGATTGGCATCTCACACCTTCCAGAGGCATGGCCTACGGTCGAGTGCCTGCAGCTGATGAAGTTAAACAGGAGGGGTGGTAGCCACCTCCAGGCGGGAGCACACTTTTGTGGCATGGGGTCTATGGCCCTTTTTTGCTCTACTCCGCCCCTGACATGAGCATGCGGATGGGTTTTCGGGTGCAAAGCGCAAAGTCTCGCAGGAGCTGGAACTCTGGGGCTGAGCAGATGGCCGCCTGACCCTATGACACCGCAAAAAAGGCTCCACTCTGCGTAGGCTGCCCTGCGATCTGTGGCTGTGCCGATAAATTAAGTTATCCAGTTTTTGCGGAAGCATCGTTAGGCTAGCACGCTCTGTGCAGATCCTCAAAGCCTTGCTGAAACCTCGGGTTACCCCTAAACCCAAACCCTGTTTCGTTTCTTCGGAAGCCTCTCAGACGGTTCCAATCCCTGCACCCTTTCAAAGCTCCATGTCACGCGGCCGGAGTTGCCTGAGTGGGCCGTGAGTTTAGAATCACCGCTTCAGATGCAGGGGCCGCGACACATGAGAATTACATGCATCATGAATGCAGGCGATGTATGTGTCTCTGTCTAGGCAGGTGGATGCGTGGGTAGGAAAGTAGGTAGGTGGCTAGCTAGCCAGGTAGTAGTCAGGTAGCTGGGCAGCCAGGTGGCTAGCTGGCTAGCTGGAGAGGTAGCTGGCTAGGTATGTATGTATGTATGTATGTATGTATGTACGTATGTATGTATGTATGTATGTATGTATGTATGTATAAGCATCTCGGCTCCGCAATGAGGGGCGTTAGGATCGGAAATCTTGTGCGCGGCACCTCGCAGGTGCTGATTTCGAGGGGTGTTGTTCTGAACAGGCTGGCGAAACTTCTGAAGGTTACTTTGGCGGGCTGGCTGGCTTGGCTTGTTTTTGAGGGTGCCGGCACAACAGAGCCATGGCTCTGGATTTGGTCCCATGCCACGGCGACAATAAGCTGCCCAAGTATGCCTCCCGTGTGTTCCTCCCTGATTACATCCTTGTCTGTGCAGAGAACTATGTGTTGGGATGCCTCACCAAACAGTGGGGTGAATCGAACATCGGTGTACTACGAGCCCGACAAGGCCGGCTGCGAAGACGCTGGGCAGTGGAGGGCGACGGGCCTTCGGGATTTGGTTGTCGGGCTGGAGTTTGCTGGACCCTGCTGGTAGGCTTCGGTTGCTCAGCTGTACGATTGAGTCCAACTACTGTTTCGCTGTATCCATGTTCCAGACCGCTTGCAAGCAGTACAACCCGGAGCTGGAGGAACTTGACTAGCTTTGGTGGCCTTAGGCGGCTCAGGGCACATTTCCGCAGGACCTTGAAAGGAGCATGGAAGCTCTGCACAGTCTGCCCGGGCCCTCGCATCGTGTGTGAGTGGGGTCTGTTGATCATGCTCGCGCCACTCTGCCTTTGCATGATCTCGCTGCTCATCCTCGAGAATATGCTGGACAGGCAGTGCCCCAGACTTGTTGCCCAGGGGGTACCTGCTCAGGTCTTCTGCACACTCCTGCAGCATGCCGCCTTACTTTTCAAGGAACAGCTGACATGCAGAGTTGCATTGGCTCAAGGGCTGTTAGATGGCCGTGGCAACGAGATGGTAGAGAGATTGGGCGGAAACTCTTCGGACGAAGAGTACGTGGATGTGCTCCTCGATTCGGGGGAAGAAGATGAGGATGAGCCTCGACCGCTCACGGGCCCACCGGCGGGCCCGCCGCCGCCCATAGCTACCCCTTTGCAGGCAGTGCAGGCCGTCTCTTACCAGGTCTCGCAGGCTATGGCCCGCTCCCTGGGTATCGTGCAAGGCCAAGTGCTGACCGTCATGCCTCCCCACTGGGCAGACTTGAGACGGGTCACGGTGGAAGTCCGGGGGATGATGCCGAACGAGGCGATGCACCCCCACGTCCTGCACTTCAGCGACTCGGCACCGCCCGGCCCAGCAGCACTCTCGATCATGGAAGGACCCTCAATGCCGGAGGGGCCGGCCATTCCTCCAGCTGCACCTCGAGTTGCCAGTCCACGACCTCGGCAACGACCAAAATCCAAGGCCCAGGCCCTGACTAAGGAGGCAGCCGACACCGTGCTGGCGGACCTGGAGATTGCCCGGATGCAGGCTGACCTCGATATCGACGCCGAACTCCATAACGAGACCTCCGGTGACGACACGGGTGCGGACAGCGAGCAGGCCAGACCAGGATCATCGACGGACCACCTCAGGCCATCAGCCTCTTCGTCGACGAGACGCTCTGGTACACGCCGGGCTGATGGCACCCTGGAGGCCGGCGACGAGGAGATGGTCACAGTCCTCTTGGACGAACCCCAGAAGCCGACGCCCAAGCCCGAGCAGCCGGGCAATGATAAGCCGAGGCCTCACTTGATCCTTCAGCCGCAGAGGGACCCTCTCATAGCAGGCTACCACCTAGTGGCTCCCTCCTTTTCTCGCCCAGGCGCCGCCGCAGGAAGCCCCAGTAGTGATCCGGGCTTAGGGGCAGTTTTGAGCGAACAGGAAGGAGGACTGGCCTTGCCGAACACAGCAAGAACACCCTCTCAGACAACCATGCACACAGTGGACCGCGGCCAACAGACCTCCATGTGCACAGACTCCTCGATGACTCCCAGCGAATGCGAGAAAAACTGGCAGTTTGCAGACTCTTCCTGTACGCTGGCCTGCTCCCGCTCTTGTGCACTTTCTCCTTTGCCACGGCTGGCCAGGTACTGCACCATGCCGTTCTTGTGGACTCAGTCGGTGGCCTTACATTTACACAACAGCCTGCACTTTGCGAGAATGCTAGTGTATCACCTGCTTCTCTGCCTCAGGTCGATTGCCGCCCTTGTGATTGACCAGGGAATCCAGGCAAGCAGACATGCTCCCTTTGTTTTTCGAGCACAACAAGACCTGCACCCTGTGCACATCCTTGAACCGACCACAGGAATCCGATCTTCGATGCCTCGACCGGAAGTACATTCCCGGAGCTGTCCGGGTCCCAAGTCCCGGAACCACTACTTTCCTACTTTGTTCAAAGGGCTGTGGCTATACATCTGTTCGTTGACGATCTTGATACAGCCCTCCACAGCAGTAGTGGTTGATGCGAGGGTTGGAGTCTCTGCTCATCACAGGACTCCACAAGCCCCACAGTTTCACATGGAAGCTCACGACGAGGCGAAGCCATTTGGTGACAGCCGTCACACTCAGCCTCGTCTATGTATTCCTCCTCAGGCCACCCTCAAGAAGCGCACCTTGACTCGAGTCATCAACAAGGCTCAGGCGGACCAATCTCAGACGATCAAATACAAAGGGCAGCGCTACCATCTTCACGACCAGCGACCAGGTGAAACGTCGACCCCGGGACCTCCTCGCCTACTCCAACAGAGTCGTCCCGCCAGGCGCCTTCGGGTTGTCTCGTATAACTGCGGAGGCCTCTCAGCCTCCCTCTATCAGGAATTGGTGGCATGGCTCAAAGCAGAGGAGACCCGTGGAGAACCGGTAGACGTTCTCTGCATCCAAGAGACTGCTTGGAAAGAGGACTTTGAATTTCGCACAGCGACGAATCACCCGCTCGAGCCCCAATGGCACGCGATTCATGCAGGTGGTCCAGCTCGCACCGGCATCCTATGCCTTATCAGGTCCTCCCTACTCCGTGCAGATCAGATCCGCTATGTGGTGCTTGTACCTGGCAGAGTTCTTCACGTCAGGCTCCTATTCGAGATTCCACTAGATCTCCTTCTCCTCTACCAAGTAGCATGGAACCCCCAGAAGGCAGAGTTAAAGGGACACAAGGTCGACGCCTTGGTTCAACAACGTGCCAAGCTGTGGCACCAAGTGGAGCAGTGGTTAGCCCGGATACCATTACGAAATGGAACAATCCTCATTGGTGACTTCAATACTCCCCTATGCCCCGAACAAGGCCTATGTGGCGAAGGCGTCGTCTCCCGAGAAGGTGGGGCCCAACGGGACCAAGCAGAGTTTCAGGCCATACTGCGCAGAGCAGGTTGCACCGCACTTAACACCTGGAGGGCATCAGGAGTGAAGGCTCGTACTTTTCTACCTCCTGCAGCCACTGAACAAACACTAGGCAGCCAGATCGACTTCCTGGTCGTCAGAGGCAACCTCCTCGATGCCAAGGCCCGCTTAGCCCAGCCCATCAATGCACCCTTTGTCCCACGGACTGGGTGTAGGCACCTTCCGGTCTCTGGTACCATTCCGCTCCCAACGAGGCCAAGGACCACAATCCAGCAGAGACAACGAGTAGTACCTGCTCGTGCCAAGGTCATGCTTCGAGACCCCACGCTGTCGCAGCAGGTCTGGCAAGCAGCCCAAAATACTCTTGACACCGCAGCTACCGACGAGGTGCCCAACATTGATGCTGCCCTCCTTCAAGGTTGGCAACAAAACATGAAGACGAAGAGGCAGCAAGCCCAGAACGTGGAGAGAATTCCACACCCGGTAGTTGCCGACACAGCCCTTCTAATACGCCAACTTTGGGCACTCCGTGAGCTCATTCATGTCGAATCCAGATGCACTACACAACCCCAGCCTTCAGACAGCCCAGGCTTGGCTCAACTCTGGACGGGCTGGCGGCGCATCTGTGCCCTCCAACAGCTTCAGCGAGAACTAAGACGCAGAGGCAGGCACAAAAAGATCCATATGGTGGAGCAGGCAGTCAAGGCTGACAATGTCTATCAGGCTGCCAAGCAGTTCGCCCCCAAGACAGCGAGGCGAAGGCTTCAGCTCAGAACTGAACAGGGACACCTGCAAACAGCTGCCGAAGAGTTCAGGACTATCAAGCAGTACTACGAGACCCTCTATGCTGGTCCGGCCCCAACTCGGGACTTCCTGTGTACAAGGCTTGACTTTCAATTGGAGGAGGTCCTCAATGCCATCAAGAACCTGGCTCCTGGAAAGGCCATGCCTTCCTACTCGGCACCAGCGGCCCTATGGAACAACCTGCATGCCGAACTTGCACCGCAGGTCCTGCAGCAGCTGAACCACGTCTTCTCTCCAGGCCTCCTTGTTCTCCCAGCAGAATGGTGTATCAGCGAACTCGTTCTCCTGCCGAAGCCCGGTAAGGCCTTGACCTCACCTTCGCATCTGCGCCCGATTGCCCTCCTCCCGCCCATCGCAAAAGTCCTCGCCTCAGTGCTGGCGTCCAGAATCCAGCCTTTCGCGGCGGCTTATCTGGAAAATACTCCCCAGTTCGCTTATCTACGTGGACGATCTCTCCAACAGGCTTTGGAGAGAGTGATCTCACACTGTGCCGAAACTAGAGCCTTGATTGCCCAGCAGGCGACCAATCCACACACCCGCAGGTCGGGGCGAGAGGTATTGCAGATCGCTGGCGGACTACAGCTTTCATTGGATGTCTCCCAGGCATATGATGGCGTGAGCCGCAGCCACCTCCGAGATGCACTCCTGGAGGCACAAATTCCGGAGGCACTCACCACAGCCATCCTGGCAACCCATAACCAGGCAGTTTTGCGCATCTCCCACGACCAGTACACCGACAACATCAAGTTGCTCACAGGCCTACGTCAAGGCTGCAGCTTGTCGCCCATACTTTGGTCCATCTATACAGGATGGCTGCTCCGGCGCCTCGAAGAGACCGGACTTGTCCCTGTCTCGCAGGCAGGCACTGTTTTTGCCGATGATGCTCACTTCTCTTGGCTGATCAAAACCGGCAGCCAGCTCGAGGCTGCATACTCTGGCGTCCGAGCAGTCCTCAATCACCTCGCTGCCTACAACTTGAAGGTGAGCATTGATAAAACCGTGATCCTTGTTGAACTCCGCGGCTCCAAGGCGACAGCCCTCCTCAAGAAGTACGTGATCCAGAAGGAAACTGGACCCCACATGAGGTTCAAGGTCGGGGGAGAGCACATGGACATCAAGATTGTCTCAAAACATGTGTACTTAGGCGCATGCATCTCTTATCGACGTTTCGAACAAGACACGATGCAAAGAAGGCTGGCTCTCGCCAAAGCTCAGTTCGCAAGACTAAAGTCCATTCTCAAATGCCAGGCAGTGGCATTGCCCCTTAGAATGCAACTATGGCAGGCTTGTGTGCCTCCGTGCCTACAACATAGCCTAGATTGCGCTGGACTCCCCCCGACCGAGATGAAGGCAGCACGGACCTTGCTCATCACCCAAGCTCGAACGGTGGCCAGATCGCACAGCATGATGACCCATGAATCCAACCAGGACTTCATCAGAAGAATGGGATTGAAGGACCCGGCAGCACACATGGTCAGGTCCCTAGAAAGTCGCGAGGCCTCTGATGCTCTTTTGGGAATCCAGCTGCAACCCACCCAGGCACAGCTCCAGTGGCAACACATCCTGAGAGCGCATTTGACTGCAGCCCAGCAGCCTGCTACTCACTCCTACAGCATGCATACACGGCTTGTCCCGGTTGGCTGTGTGCTTCACGAGATGTTCGAGTGCAACACATGCGGTCAACAGTTCAGCACGGCTGCTGCGCTGAAACGTCACTGCTTCCTTATGCACATGGATGAGCAAGAGCAAGCTGAGAGGAGAACTACCCTTAGAGCCCACGCTCAGCAAGCCAGCATGGAGCACTCTAAGGAAGGACTCCCATGGTGCCGTCATTGTCTCCGGAAGTTTCATTATTGGCCCAATTTTTATTATCACGTGAATGCTCGTGGATGCCCTGAACTCAGAGAAATATATGCTCAGCGTCAGCCAGGTCATTCCCTAGCACAGCTGTCGACTGCACTCCTTGAGCGAGAGCACATACTTGAGTTCGCGAAAGGGTGTACATGGCTTGACATGGCTGCTCATCCAGATGTCATAGCCAACATTCAGCACTGTCCGGAATGTCATCACTGGGTTGCTTCTCCTCAGTACCTAAAAAGGCACATGATTGCGAAACATCCGGAACAGCTGAAGCTCATCAATGACTACACTAACTTTGTCAAAGCCAGCAACCTTGGGCTCAGCAGTCCGTGCCGATTCTGTCTCCAACCGTTCCAGCGACGAGACGCTCACCTTCGATCCTGCGCTGGCCTTTTCTGTGGGGCATACGCCTACTCGAGAATTGCCCGAGGCAAGCCGCTTCCTTTTGCCCCAGATCATGGCGGCGCCGGGTCTTCGAGGCCAACTTGCGGAAGCGACGGAGGAGCTCCGACTCATCGAGTCCCTAGTACCCGAGGGGAGCCAGGGCTTCAGGAAACAGGACCAGCCGAGGCGCATGCAGCTCGACGACCCCCTGGCGGAGACGGCCAACCTCGAGGACGACAAGGACCACCCGGCGAAGTGGAGACGCCCCGACAACAAAGGCCAGGGCGGCCGAGGAAAAGGCCACAGCAGCAACCAGCCGGACGAGACCTACGAACCCTACTGGGGAGAGGGCTGGAGTCAAAGCTGGAACCCGCAGAGGCAGGGAGCGAACAGAGCAGATGCCCAACTCAAGGAACTTCAGAACCTGCGCCACCGAGTGGACCTCCTGACAACCTTAGTCTTGAGGCACGACAATGCTCTGAACATCTTGGCCCAGGATCAGACGTACATGATCTTTGTTCGCACGGACATTCCAGGCAACCTCGCCTCGATCCTCTACGAGGCGGGGAAGGCATGGAACGACCTCAAGGCCTCGAACCCGGAGAAACTCGAGGCTCCTATGAGAGTGATCCTGTTCCAGAAGTTCCTGGTCACGGTCAAGGCTCGATTGGAACACATCCTCACCTCGGAGGACAAGTTGCATCAGGCCCAGAACCTACACTGGATCACGGAGGACGGCGCCTCTCTCAATGCGATGAAGTGGGACCCGGAGCACAACCGGCACGTGGTGAACAAGGAGCTGCCGGTGGTGGAAATCACGAAGGCCAAAAGTATCCTCGAGGAGATGATCATCTTGGGACGACATCCCCGCTCGATCAACAGGTTTCATGCTACAAGGACCATGGCGGAGACCTATGCCTCCCCCACCCTGACGTTCAAGCTGGACCTGGGCCTCAGGACTACCGAGGCAGGCCAGATGTGGGCATACATGAATCAACTGGCTCATTCGGCTTTGTGGGTGGCGGCGGGGACGTATGCCAGGCACAATCGTCTACAACGAGACCCGCTGGCCCAGAAAGTTGCCCAGTCGCAGAAGCCACCGCAGCGCAGAGGGAGCAAGCACAAAGGGTACTGAGAATCAACATCCTGAACAGTGGCAACTACTGCTACGCCAACTCTTTGGTGAAGTGCCTCCTCATGCTGGAGTGTCACCATGGCTGGCTGGACGGGACCAAGCTGATTCCGGAGCCGTTGCAGGGCATTCTGAGAGGGTTTATGAATGCTAGAAAACCTTTTGCTCTTTGGGACAATCCTTTCTGGAAAACTTTAGTTCGTGATTGGCGAAGCCCGGGGATCCAGCATGATGTTGCTGATTTTCTCATGTTCCTTGGAAGGTGCTGTCCGGAGTTGCGGGTAAAACTTGGAGCCCGTTGGGCTGCCAGGACTCAAGGGGTCCTTAGAGATGTGGACGAAGGCTGGTCGCTTCCGCTCAGTATTTGCCCCACGGGGGCGATCCTGTGGGGCGCTGAGTGTGTTAGTGTTCAAGACTTGATTGATGGCTGGACTTCCCAAGCTGAAGCGCATGCCTTGACGGTTGCATCAGAAGTGATTGTGATTCAGGCTGGGCGCTTTAGCTCCACACCAGACAGACCTGTTTGTAAGCTGCGACATTTTATCATCCCTAGTCGTGAGGTGGTTGTTCCGGTCTTTCAACAGGGTCTGGATACCAGTGAAGAGCGCTATGCCCTGAGTTCGATTTTGATTCATCGAGGGGAGACGCCTGGCACAGGACACTACCAGGCTCTGCTCCTTGAAGGCACCAACTTTTTCTTAGCAGATGACGCCCAGGTAGCCCAGCTCTGCACACCGAGTGAAGTTGATGACACTTGCCGTGATTCTTATCTCTTTTTCTACTGCAAGTGCAAGCTTGATCATAGGGAGGTGCTTCGCTCTGGGTGTTAGCACCGGAGGCACCTGGTGCCAACTTCTTAGAGGGACTTCGTGTGTCTAACACATGGAAGTTCGCTGGCCGAGGAAGCGGTAAGTCCGCTGAAGCCGAGACTAAGTTCTCGTCCTCGACGACGCTCGCAAAGACCGACTTTGCAGTGGGGAAGAAGAAGAAGTATGTATGTATGTATGTATGTATGTATGTATGTATGTATGTATGTATGTATGTATGTAAAAAATATATATATACATACGTACACTATATGTGTGCGTGTATGCATCTTTACATGCAAGCACATCGCAGGCTGACACCTAGCAGCTTGTTGTTTTGCTTTGCCGTCTTCTAGAAGGCACTTCTTGTTGCCAGTACTGCCACCAGCTTGCGCTGATGTCTCGCATGGTTTCGTGCTGATGATTCAAAACAAAATGGGGGTTTCCGAAAAAAGGGACCCTAATATAGTAGGATCCTTATTATAAGGATCCCAGAATAAGGTACCCTAATTTTCGGAAAGTCACAAAGGATTCGATAGGTTGTTATGATGCTGGCTGACCATGATGATGAGGGTGGAGATCAGGAGTGAAGCCGCTCAGGGAAGCAGCTCTAAGTGGCTCGCCCCTAAACCCTAAGCCCTAAACCCAAAACCCTAAGCCCTAAACCCTAAGCCCTAAACCCTAAACCCTAAACCCTAAACCCTAAGCCCTAAGCCCTACACCCTGGCCCTAAGCCTTAAACCCTGAACCCTAAACCCTAAGCCCTAAACTTCAAGGGGAACCTAAACCTTAAGCCTTGGACCTTCGTTCCAAAGCCATCGCCCAACCGATGTGGCAGCCGTTTGAGCCGTTTGAAGACTTAGATTTAGATTTTTGCGGCTAGCGCCTACCAGGGACATGCCGGTTGGAAGATTATTTGCAGCTGCCACCCGGTGCAATCTGAGGATTGTTCTGTTTCTTTTTTGGGGTCCACATAGGGTTTTTGTGGTTAGAGCTTTAGGTTTAGGGGTTCGAATTGTAGGTTTTGGGGTTTCCGGTCGCTTTCTGTGCGGTGCTGGGAGATTCCTTCAAAGGTTTAAGGCTTAGGCAATGTCGTTGCAGGTTGCGGCTCAGGATTCCGTGAGTTTCGGTTTAGATCTCAGTGGCTGGTGGCTTTGGTGGCCACAAGGAGCACACGGAATTCCGGGAGCCCAGGAAAACACCCTAGGTGCCCGAAGAAGCGCAGCTGCGAAAGCCCTGCAGCCCTGAGCCCGAAATCCTGAACCGACCCTTGGGGGTCGGCGTAATTTTTGTCAGACTCTCGCCTTGCCACCCGTATAAAAAAGTAGAGGTTTTTGTTGTAAAGCACATTCCAAAGTCCTATTATACGTATTCATTCAGACCCTTTTCATGGAACACAAAGAGTAGCTGTTGGTAACCCCAATAGGAACCGTTATAGAACCCTTGGAACGGAGCGCTGAAAGGAATCCTGTTCTAAGTAGCATGCCCCCCATACTATCCAGGCTCTGCTGCCTCTTCTCGCTCTGCAGGCCTGCCAGAAGGGTTATTTTTGGTTCAGGGCTGCGGGTTGAGGTATCGAAACAAACCCTCCTAAACCCCAAACCCTACACCCGAAACCCTCAACCCTAAACCCGAAACCTTCAACCCCGAAACCCTAAACCCCTAAACCCCCTAAACCCAAGACCCTAAATCAATTTCGGCTCCAAACCCCGAAGTCGCAATCCCCCATCCTGAAAGTCTGTAGCAGCGAGCATTTTGACTCTGTCACTCGACCTTTTGGCCGCCATCAAGAGACACTTTTACGGAAGTAAAGCAAGCAAGAAGCCTTCATAATTTGAATTCAGTTCCTTGAAAATCTTCATTACACACCCAAAGGCTTTCTCCCAAAACGCCGCGGGCCCTGAAAGTTCTGGTGCGGTTCCCGCCTTTCGGGCCTCGAACCTTGTGCCCAGGGCTGCGACACCTCGTCGAAGCTGCGCGCTGAGGAGCAGGGACTGGCTCTTCAGGGTATAGAGGGTGTAGGGTTTAGGGTGTTGGGAAGAGGGTCATAGGGTTTGGGGTTATCACTTCCCGGGTTTGGGGTTAGGGTTACGTTGAGGAGCTACAGTGGGGGTTGCGTGGGTCTTCTTTTCTTCTTGCTGTTGCTCTTCGCAGTTGCTCATCAGCATAATACGTCCAGCAGTAGATTTCAGTCGTAGCAGCAGAGGAACAAACGGTCGGAGGAGTAACTCTGTGTTCTGCTGTTACTATGGATACTATGGCGTTTTGCGGTTTATTAGGGTTTCAATAATGATTATGGGTAAACTCCACTGTCATTTCTAGGATGTCCACTGTTCTCATAGCTCCGGCACAAACAAAGTGCTATGTGGCGCAGACTTCGTTATGAAGGCCGAAGACATATGCACATATTTCCCCGTAGCTCCCGAAGCCTGAAAGCGCTCCTTGACGTTTAGGGAAACCCTAACTAAACCCTAAACCTCTAGCCTAAACCCTAACCCTTAAACCCTAAACCCTAAAACCCTAAACCCCTAAACCCCTAAAGCCCTAATCCTAAACTCTAAACCCCTAAACTCTAAACCCTAAACCCCTAAGCCCCTAAACCCCAAACCCTAAACCCCTAAACCCCTAAACCCCTAAACCCTAAACCCCAAGCCTCAGTCTTCCAAGAGTCTCCGGAGCTCGGTTTCTTTCAGGGTGCCTGGTTCCCTTAAGCCTTGTCGTCCGGGATTTACGGCGTAGAAGGCCTTGAGCACGAAACCCACTGAACACACCCCCTTAAGCCACGACACCCCAACCCTGAACTCCCTCAACCCTAAACCCTGAACTCCCTAGACCCTAAGTCCCCGTAAACCCTGACAAAACCACAATATGTGGGCTCGATTCCATCGTCATACTCTTCCTTTGGCCTCCTGTATGCAGTTGTGATGTATCAAGGCACCGAATCCGTTAAGGTTTAGGATGTAGGTTTCGTTGGGATTTGTGGGTTCAGAGTTGAGGATAGGGTTTAGGGGTGTAGGGTTCAGGCTGTAGAGGGTTCGAAGCCCAAAGCCCCGAATTTAGGGGTTTAGGGTTCAGGTTGTAGAGGGTTCGGTGCCCAAATCTCTTCCTTAAGGCCTTCATCTACCACCACTTCGACGACGACAACGACGACTACTACGACGACAGCTGCCACCAAGGTCGGGCGCTTTCAGTCGAACGTAGCCATAAACCTACAGCGTGCGGCTTTATGGCTTCACTCCAAAATGCTACAAGGACCCTTCGCACACCATCCTGATACCACCCCGCATAAATCCCTAGCAGACTACCGCTACAGCAGCCCGGAGTCACAACCTCCATTGCCCACATCCTAAACACTAAATCCCAAAAGAGTTTGAGGGTTTAGGGTATATTTTGGGGTTTAGGGTAGGCCTTGACCCCAAGATCCAGTGAGCCTTTAAACCTGAGAAGGAAGTAGTTGAAGGTCTAGGCACGGACAAGCCGCCACTGCAAGCCCTCAAACCATAATGTCCTGAATCCTGGAGTCCTCATAGCCCTGAGCCCATAACCCGAAGCCTCATAACCTTCACACCCTCCAGATCCCGGAATGCGAGCCAAAGCACTAGTCCACAAATCCCCAAGACTAGGCTCTTAGCTCTTTCCGGAGGGCCGCAATGCCAGCTCTGTGATCACCGTGCCTGGCTGGCCGGACCTCTCGGGAAAGTTCCCGCTGTCCTATGCCGTCAAGGCTCGGCATCATCGAGTCTTCCTAGATTCCGGCTCGGACTGCAGGGGTTAAGGATTTGATACGAGGGGCTATAGGGCTCAGGGTTTAGAGGTTTTGCGATGTAATTCGTGAATGGAAGCAGGATGCTGCACCGTGCTGTTGCTGTCGGGGGTCTGGATACTTAGGAATAAGATTCCTTAAGGCCTTCAGGTTAGTTAAGGCTTAGAATGTCCCTTAACATGTTAGGAATAGTATTCTTTAAGGCCGTGAGTTTGCTTAAGGTTCTTTGGCATTCTCATAGTATACAATACCCCGAGACCCTGCTACGATTACTGTGAATTTGGGATCTCGGAGCTTGAATTCAATACCCAAGTCCTTAACAACAGCCGAAGTGTGTGTGTGTGTGTGTTTGTGTACCACCCTGAAGCCAAGGGATCAAGAAAATGCAGGGGGGCACCAGGGGCTCCAACAAGTCCGGTGCTAACAAAGACACTTGTTGGATGCCTGTGATATGGGAGCAAGAGCCCCCAATTCCGAGTGATTCGCTTGCTAACCCGATATATGACTTCAGGCATATCATGGGTCAATCCAAGTGTGTGTGTGTGTGTGGGTGTGCTCCCATATCTGAAAGTTTGGAAGAGCTCGTCTCTGAGGGCTCCAGCAGGTCTCAGGCTGCTGCAAAAGCTCCGAAGCCCGAATCCGCTTGGTTTGGACTTTCAAAATTACTGGAATAACACCAAAGGGCCTACATACTCAGGGTCGTATTGTGAAACTTTTTTGCATGTCCCTACAAAGGTGGGTCGTCTGGGTTGCAGCTAAGCTGTAGACTGTACAACCTCAGTGCTAAAGCCCGCTTCCCTGAGTTTGTTTGCGGTGGGAACTTAAAGCTCTGACGTGGGGAGGCCGGCGGCATGGTCTATGTCTCCGGAATGCAAGGGATGGACATGGCGACCATGAAGTCCTAGTCCCAGGGTTCGATGTTTTAGGGCTTATAAGGGCGAGTGCTTGGGTGTTTTGGGCCTCAAACTGTAGGTTCCTGAGTATCAGTATAAAATTCTTCTATGTAAAAAGGGGGCCCCTGTGTTAGGTTTGCGTTTCCGGGGTCTGCAGACCTTGACGGTTGGAGTGGCTGGTGGCCCAGCCTCAGAGCATTGCAGCTTTGGATAACGATTCATGGGGTTTCAGGCTTTTTGGTTGTTTGACAACGCAGCTGCATAGGTACAGGGGGTATTTTCATTAATATTATTATTACTATTATTGCAATCTGTATTTTTGTTTGCAATAATTGTTATCATGGTAATAACTTACTCCGTACTCCTGACTACGATTTCCACCATTTTCCCACACCGTCATCAGGTGCTGGAGCGTTGCGGAATCGCCTTCAAACCTGCCCCCAAGCCCAAATCTTCCCTCAGAAAGCCAGTCAGAAAACAGCAGCATGACAGCCAACTGTAGGAACCCTTTAAAGGAGCACGTAATGAAGCTCTTTCAAGGAACCTTTAACAGGAACCTTTTGAAGGATCTTTGACAGGAGCCATTTGAGAAGTTGACCAAAAAAGCCGGGAAGTTCGCCGTAAACCCTAAACCCTAAACGCTACAAGCCCTAAACGCTATAAACCCTAATCCCTATAAACCCTAGAAGCCCTACAAACCCTATGAACCAACCCTGTAAACCCTATGAACCCTATAAGCCCTATAAACCTTATGACCCCTATAAACCCAAAATCCTAGACCGTCTTCGCAACGGGGGGCTGGGTGCCTAGGCTGGTGCCGGGTGGCGTAGGCCCAGAAACGACGAAGATTTTGTCGAACTTGCAGCAGTTGCTGCAGGCTTGGCGTCGGGATTTTTGGTTCTTCCATAGAGGGTCTTTATAAAGCCCTCTAGGCTTGGCGTCGTTTTTGTATTAGGTCTTTGGGGTGGGGTTTGGGTTGATGGTTAATGGTTTAGGGCGGTTGAGGGGTAAGGTTTCAGGGTTTGGGGCTGAGGGTTTAGCGTCAAGGGCTTTTGCCTTTTGTCGATTTCGGGTTTCGGGTTGTCGCCCCTGACCTCTCAACTTAGCAGCCTGGACTGTCATTGCTGTGGTCGGTGCTGCTTCCAAGACCTGAGGTGTTGAAGGATTCGAAAGTTGTTATTGTTTCGTGCCTGGTGGAAGGCCGCAGACAGTTCCATGGGGCAGGTGACCCTGTGCCTGCCTTAGACTGGAGGCAACATGGACAGGCTTGCAAGGTTTATGGTTCGGGGGTTGGACTTGCTGTGGAGGAGGCAGCAAGGGCAAGAATCCAGTGACAATGCGAGTGGGGCATCGCGTGAGTGAAGGACCCGCCGTACACCCTGCAACCCGATGCTTCGCATCTCATACAATCAGCTTCCAGCTATGTCGACATGAAATGCCCGTACTCTGTATCTTTGCATCGCGTTCCGCTTGACCCTGACCCCCAGACCCCACTAATTCCGAAACGTGGATACCCTCCTACGGCATGCAAAGGGGCAAAATCCGTGCAACCTCGGAGAAGTATGCCGGGTGGGAGGCGTTGGTTTGCTCAGGTGCAGCGTGTCCCTGGTCAACATCTCCCGGGACTTCACGGCCTTCAACACGGCACGACGCTCAACCGACCGCCATGCGACCAAAAACTCCATACTCGTAGTGTCGGGCTTCCTTTATGCACCATGAAGCCTAGAGCCGCTAGAGCCCCTGAGCCAAGTGATCTTGTGAGGAGGGGCACGACTGCCTTCTGCGAAATGTCAGGAATCGGCTGGCGCTAATCCGTACATCGGTAGTTCTCTAAACTAGAATCCCTTTAGGGGCCCTTGTCATAAGGGTGCCGAACTATCTTTGGGGACTTAAAAAAAGGGGACCCGAGTTTAGTTTGGAGAACTGCCGACATCCGGTTCGCGGGCTTCCTATTCGAGATCGGGGCCCTCGGCCGTCCTTAGGAAACTCAGCGCCCCGAGGCGTAGAGTCCAGAGGTCAAAACCCAAAACCCGAAGCCTAAAACCCTGCACCCTAAACCCAACACCCTAAGCCCTAAGCCCTACCCCCTAAACCCAAAACCCCATGCCCTAAACCCTACATCCTATGCCCAGAACCCGAGAAGCCAGATCTTAAACCTCACACTCCAAGCCCGAAAGCCCCAAATGCCTACCCGAACCCCAAGCTTCTGATGCATTCTGCAAGGTAGTAAATGGTTATTGCAATGGGCTTTAAGGGGTAGTAGTATAAGGTAGTATTAGTACAAGGGGTACGTAGAGCAGCAGTAAGAGATACTTATAAGGGTTAATTACTAGAGCAACAATACGAGATACTAGGATTGAGCGATACAGAGATCAAGCACACTTATACACCTAAAAACCGAATCTACACCTGATCGAAGAAGACCTGGACTTGGGTTCATCGTCCGAGGCCTACGCCGCGTTCTTCAAGGCCAGCGCGACCGAGCCCGCCTCCCGCGCGGGTGGCGGTTCAGGCGGATGGCAGGTTTTGAGGGTTTAGGGCTCTTTTGGGGGCTTGAGGTTTTGGGGATTTTTGTTGGGGGAGGCTGTAGGGCTCAAGGTTGAGAGTTGGGGCTTTTGGGTTTGGACATTTTTGGATTTTCGGGCTTCCGACCTTTTGTTTGGAGGGGTTTCTGGTGGGGTTGAAGGTTGAAGCCCTAAACCCTAAACCCTAAAGCAAAAATCCTAAACCCGAAACCCCAAACCCCAAACCCTAAACCCCAAACCCTAAACCCTAAACCCTAAACCGCAAACCTCAAGTCAGTGAAGGTCTCCCTCCGGTTTGACTGGGGCTTGCAATGTGTTACCTAAACCCTAAACCCGAACCATCCTAAGCTCTGCCAGCTGTCGTTGCAGGTCTCCGCCCTCGCCGGCACGGCCTCAGCGACTTGGCAAAGGCTTTCATGGAAGGGCTTAGACTCGTTCCTTTGAGTTCCTTAACGGATTTCCTTAGAGTTCCTTAGGGGATTTCCTTTAGAGTTCCTGAGCGGATTTCCTCAGAGTTCCTTAACGGATTTCCTTGGAGTTTCGTAACGGATTTCCTTGAAGGATTCTGTGAGGGCTGTCATTATTTTCGGGCTTAGGGGTTCGTGAAGAGGTCGAAAGACTTGCTCCCCTTAGCAATTTCATTCAAGGCTTTGATAGGGCCCGAAAGAACGAGTCACAGTATTCCGTTCTAGTTCGGTATAGCTCTAGAATAATATGTCCCAAACTGTATGCTAATCATCATTGTGCACGTTAAGGATCGCCTCTGGCTTGAACCAAGCTTGGTTTACGGGGCTCTTCGGGTTTAGGGCTTAAGGTTCAGGGGATAGGGCTAGGGTTTAGACCGGACACTGCAAGTGCTCTCTGGCTTCGGGGTTTAAGGCCGTTCAAAGACTTTATTCGGGCTCAAGGTTCAAGAACTCGGGTTTAGGACGTAAGGTTCACGAAGATGTAGGGCTTGGTGGGTGCAGCAAGCGGCCTTTCAAGTCTTCATCCGAAGCCCTAAGAGCCCTAAACCCGAAAGTCTGAACCTAAATCTAAACCGCAAGCCCCAAACCCTAAACCCTAATCCTAAACCCAAAACTGCAAGCCCTAAACCCTAAACCCTAATCCTAAATCCTAAACCGCAAGCCCTAAACCTACAGCTTAAATCTAAAACCTTGAATCCCAAGCCCTGAGTCCTCCTCCGCCGCGACCCCCACCGCCCCGAAAAAATAGAGCTTCCCTGCCAAGATGCTGCAGCCCAAACTTCAAAGCGTTAGCAGAATCAGTTTAGGGTTTCGGGTTCAGGGCCTGGGGTTTTAGGGTGTTGGATGGGGGGTTTAGGCTTCGGGGCTTTAGTGTAGTGGTCTGTTTTTTCGGCCCTGTGTGTCTTGATACTTTGTGGGCTACGATAAAGGTGCCTATGAGGGTACCTCAGGGTACAATACAGTGCAAACAGAGGCTACAAAGAATCAGACAGTATGAGTATCTCAGATTGCCTACGAAATACCTTAAGGCACCACCAAAAGATATGGCAGGAGTTACCGTCAGGGTTCTGGTAACGGGTGCAACCTGGGCCCAAGCCGTTTAATTTAAGGTTCAGGGATTTCAGGTTTCGTGTTTAGGGCGTCTACATCCCAAAGCTTCACAAAATAGACTCCTAAACCCTAAACTCCTAAACTCTAAACCCGTAACCCTAAACCCTAAAAGGCTCGAAGTCGCAAGACCAAGAGCTGTTGACTGTGTGGGCCTAGGTCGAGATCCAGTGCAACGCAGCGCTAAAGGATCGCCAGCGGCCGACGATTGTCGTGCCCTGTGCAACGTTGGGCTGTTGAGGATTTTGGGTTTAGGGGTTCTAGGGTTGTGGGAGTCATGATCTTGACGGTAAGTCCCATAGCCCCTGGTACTGAAGGCAAGCAGGATTCTGTCCAAGGCAGTCTAGTCTTGGCTTGGGTCGGTTTGCATTCACGATCTGAGTCGGAAGCGCTGCAAAGGCTTCGTGTCTCAACAGTGCCATAAACGCCCTGATATTTTAACAATGCTCAGGGTTCCTCGATAGAATTGTTAGAATTATACAAAATAACATACTCCGAAACCCTATTCGAAGTGTTAGTGCTAAGGCCTAAAAGTCACTTCTGTTTCAGATGACGGTTCAGGTTGGGGTCCTCGTTCAGGTGCATTAATTGCGCAATTGAAGAAGCTGAAGCATTCGCAGAGCATTGATTCGATAGTCCGACCAGGGCGTTTACTATACTGATACACAGCAACTCTGGGGAACTCATCAATGGATTTGGACATGTGCGAGCCTATGCTTGAAATTGCATTTGCGAGACAATTGCATGACTTAGTTGGTAGAAGTAACCGTACGAAGAAGTGCGGCAGGATCTTCCGAGTAGAGTTGAAGCAAGCAAAAGTGGACACGCATGGCAACCCAGTCACATTCACAACAACGCACAACCATGAATCTACACATGCAGCCTGCCTGTGTGCAGTTAGACGTTCCATCCATCCACAGATTCTACAGTCGATCCGTTCTTCCATCCATCCAGCCATCCATCCAGCCATCCATCCATGCCATCCAGCCAGCCAGCCAGCCACCCATCCATCTATCCATCCGTCCATCCGTGCCATCCATAAATCTGCACATACGTATGGGCACAGGCTTTGGTATGGCTAATCCTTTCAAAGGGAGGTTATTCCTGCAAAGTCGCGATGCGATGCATCAGTTTCAGAACCCCAAAACACCTGAGGCACCAGAGCCTAAGTACGCTTAGCTGCAAGCGGCGACCGGCCGACGTGCTTGAAGTCCGCTTGATCGCAACAGGCCACATGTGTGCTTCCATGCGGGCCCTGCTAGCCACGTTTCCATGGGAAAATCTGAAGCCATCCTGAATGCTAAGACCTTCCACTCTAAACCAGAAGGGTTGGGGAGTTCCGAGGGATCGGGTCGACGACTACCAGAACTCCTCCCATGGAGCCTGAGGTGCCGACTCTGCCGCCCATCAAAGGCTGCTGGAGATTTGGGGGCTTTTTGGGCGGGTTTTGTGGGAGTATAGAGGGCCACACAGGTTACGGTTACGGGGTTGTTCTCAGGGTTCTACAAGGGCTGAAAAGGGGTTTTGGCGATTGGGGCCGTAAGGCATTGGTCGTAGAGTCTAGGTAAAATAGCTCCCGTCCTTGGAGTCGCAGGTTAGGGCTGAGGTAGCTAGTATTTTCCAGTAACTGGCTTTACAAAATACCCTTAAAGTAGATACAAGGGATGCGTGAGTGCACGGATTTGGCGCAAGGTGATAGAATGGATAGGATGTGGGTGGGGGCGGGGCTGGTCAGGGTGTCCAGATTGGTAACCTAAACCCTAAACCCTCTCCTGATCTCTCTACCTTTCTACATTTCGAGCGCCCGACCCCAAACTGTGATCTTAAGTTGTACTCCAGACTGCCTAAGCTCTCACGCCTTTGGAGTCCCCCTAAATCGTAAGCCCTAAACGGTAAACCCCGAACAGATGCACAAGCGGAAAGCCAGTTTGGGAGGGATTGGATCCGCCTTTTCCGCCTGTGGAAGCTTTGGGGTCTTGGAGGCATATGGTCGCACGTGCAGGGTGTGTTGGACATGCGGGCCGATGCTGGCCCGGAGGACCCAGTTTGGCTGATCGTGAGCCAAGACACGCTACCCGCTGTGCTCAAGCTTCCCTTCTTGGTGGTCAGGGCGTACTATGTGCAGTGGGAGCGAGGGGTGCTGACGGAGGACCAGTTACGAGACGGCCATGGTGATCTTTGGGTGGAGCTATTTCGCCGGTGGAGGGCAGAAGGGCTTGCTTCGGTCCGGCAGGACTTGGATGCCTATGTGGAATGGAGCAGTTTCGATGGTGACAATGATGACGGCGGCTCCCAGGGGTGAGATGTCGGGGATCGTGCAGGGCTTTGCGATGCCAGTGATCGGATGAGGGCAAGGTTTAGGCCTCCTGCATCATGCAGGTTCCGAAAGCTCTAACCAGCAGACGGAAAAAGGTGCTCAAAAAAAAAACCCTGAACCCTAAACCCGAAACGCTAAACCCTAAACCCTAAAACCTCAGAAGCCTCAAACTGTCAGGTCTCCTACACGTCCAGGGGCGAGAGAGCACCACCCAGAGAATCCAAAAAA